TTATTGTTCTTAATCGTGGCAACCACAACGTCGAAAGAGAGTAAATGATATTACAAGATGGCGCAAGAAGAAATAATAGCCCGATCTGTGTCGGTATTAGTAAGAATTTTATTAATAATAAATGAAAATAATACACAACATCTAAAAAATAATATAAATAACATATTCTTTAATAATGATAAAATAAAATAATTGTCCAAATGTAATATCTGTTATTCTATTATTATTAATAAAGTCTCATTGATAATAAAATCAGGTTTCTTTTTCGCGTTCCAGGTTATATATTATTCTTGAAAGCATCATTCGAGGGCAACCGAGAAAATGTCGCGGTGACGATGATAAAAAGAGCTCCACGGTTACGCAAAGCCGCGACATCGGATTAACAGTTTCGACACGCAACGATGCACCTGTATAACGATTTTCGTGACGTCGCGGCAATTTGGCGTGTTTAGCGAACGACTTGACGAGTCATTAAACAGAGAACACTGGCAATTAATTATCACGTTTGCGTAATCGCCGCTCGGCGGCGGTAGAGGTGTGGTTGCGCAACTATCGCTCATTCTGCTCTGCTCTCATCCTCCCGAAACCCCCGGATCCCACCGATTCCTCCTCTCGCCTCTCTCATCTCATCCATCCGGTACCGATCATCTCCCGGTTCCAACCATACGTGTCAATAATTTTAATTCATCTCTGCTAATGCGATTTAATCTTCCGCTATATCTGTTCTTATCTTTTTTTTTTTTTCCTTAATTAATTCAAAGTGCGCAGGTAAAGCACAATTTGTTACATATTATATTATTATTATAAAACAATTATGTGCTGCACTTTACATCTTATCAATTATCCAGTCTCAATTAAATGTATCTGTTTTCAAAATCGATTAATGAAAGAATATTTTTAAAAGTATAGTATATATGTATATGTATGCATTGCTTAAATTTTAATTCAATTTAAGGCTTGCTTTGACACAAATACACTCATTAGATTTAAGAAAATGCTTGTACATCCGTATAAAAAAGTTAAAACTTATCTCTATTACTATTGAATCTTATCGTAACGCGGATCATGATCGTACTAGAATAGGGTTACGGGTCGCGCGTGTAACGGATCAACTGTCATTACGCAAGCCGACAACGAGTTACGCCAGAATCGTGTAGAAATTCGTAAAAGGAATTGGCCGAGTGGTAACCGCTGTTAGGAGCCAGCTACCGACCGTAATGGTCCGATTGCCATTCGTTCGAAATGTCCGGCGACAACGGATCCGATCACGAGCTTTAATCTTCCGTTCGTTTGCACGTGCTTCGCCGAGTAATGACGTTACGCAACACATTGATATCATTTAGCGGCACGTCTGGCATACAAGTGCTCACGTTTATAAAAAAGTATTATATAATAATGATATCGTTATTTTTATAATATCATTAATATCATTATTTTTAATATCGTTGTTTTTAATGTTAATGTCACACAAAATTTTAGCTTACTTCATAAACTATATAATGGAGTTCGATATAAATCTTTTGTTCAATATTTTTTTCCTTAAACTAAAAACATTAAATCTTTGTTAAAATTGGATTTTGACTATGGCATAATTTTATTTCAAAATACACTTAGCAACAGCAGTACCTAAACAAGTATAATAATGAATATTCAGAACAATTCGGCGAAACAATAAAAGTCTTTTACCTCGATCGAACGTAACAGGTCAAAGGATTCAATAAGAATACCGATTACTATTTCATTCCAGATGACCAGTCTATATATTTAAGAGACCGACACAATGGACAAACAGATCAAGAGCCTGTGGTAAAAAAGAAGAGAAGCGAAAAAGGACGAAAGTGAGACGAAAAGGAAAAAAATTCGTCGCGGTCGGCAGAGTCAAGAGACGAGCGGCATGATAGGAGGGCGCCTGGACATGGTCAGCGAGGTAAAAGTCTCAGAGATTCTCTAGGAGGCATGTACGCAGAGAGAGAGAGAGAGAGAGAGAGAGAGAGAGAGACAAGGGACCGATACATATTATAAATCAAGAAACCCGTGCGTTCCATAAAGGAAATGTCGATGGCAAAGAAAGAGGGAAGACGCGCCTGGCAGGAGGGAGAAGAGAGGAATAGGACTCGTGTGTGCGGTCACGATCGTACATCACCGACGGTATTTACGAGGTACCACCGTAAATCAATGATCGCACGAGCAACGCGCGCGATTCAACGAAATTCCTCGTCCCTTCCTGCTTATACACTCCCCTTCCTTCGCTTCCTGTACACGAGAAAACCCGTTGGACCCTTCCCATCTATCCCTCTCTCACCATCCTGCGATACATAGTATTCTTCGACGAAATCGATGACGCTGAGGAATCTCGAAAAAGCTTCTTTCCGTGAACAACAAAATGTCGAAATCAATCGGATTCCTATTCGATTCATAAATTACATACGCAAAGTATTTAGCAGCAACGTTAAATTGCAAGAGTTTCAATTAATTTAGAATTAATTTTTTTGCAGCTTTTAATTCAATTAAATAAAATGTACGTTTTTACTATTTATACTGTTTATGACTCTGTATAATTTTCTTTAAAAATTTTATATTTTTATATGCATATATATAACTTACTTATATCCTATTTAAGTAACTGTATAAATATTTACATACCTATATATACGTAACTACTTTTTTCTCAATAATTAAATCATGCAATTAATTGTATACGCGATCTATTTTTTCAAATTCGTGTGTTAACAAAAAAGAAAAGCAAAAAAAATTCACGTGCTATTCCGAGTGAAACTGAAAGAATGACCGCGCGATTCGCTAATTCAGTCCGAAGAGATACGATGGACCGAGAAAAAAGGTCGGAGCCACACGCACACACAATCGGATTCGTTTAAGGCTAAGCATTGTTTGTTCGGGGCCCTTTAAACGTTTTTTAAAGCGTGACTCCTGCCAACCCGGAAAGGATCGTTTTAACGAGGAGGTTTTAGGACAGACAGAACAGGTCAGATCTCCTACGCTGCAGCTCTACGGTTACGCCACGAGGCGTTGCCCTTTACGCTTCTCGCGCTGACTCCCAAGAATCAGCCGCCTTTCCGTCACACAAAGGCGAAGGTTGCTGCTTCTCGCAGCTGATCCTCTAAATCATATTACGCGATCGTCGAGGATAAGCCTGTCTACCAATCATGCCTCCCCCTCGAGGAAAATCTTCCCAATCTTTGTACACAACACGAAACGCGACATGTTAAAACGGGATTTCAAAGATCAGAAAGATTTAACTTAAATGGATAAATATTTTAAAGTCTAAATCGTCGAGTTTCAAATATATTCAGCACTTTTCTTACTTGATTCTGCAATAGATTTCAATTTATAATTATGTTAAAATATCGTTTGAAAAAATATCTTTTAATTAATTAACTATATTATTACAGTAATTTTATGTGTGTATAGATTCTTTTATTAATTTATTTCTCTTCTACTTGTACTTTTATACGCGATATTAACCTTGCATACATTGCAAAGTAATTGGCGACGAAATATGCTGTGTTTGAGGAAAAAATTCTAAAAGCTACATCAGCGTCTCTTGTCTACAAATAACATTAATGTCATACAAATTTGTTTTCTATTGTGCATTTTTGAAGTAAACGTGTTTTTGCATCTTCGCGAGGCAAACTGAAACGTTGCGGAGTATCGCATCTCGGTAAAGGTAGCCGGAAAAGAAAAAGAAACAGAACAGTGACGGAAGATGAAAGTGACCCTTGAACAGATTTTTCAAAGGAACCATAAAAGTACAATGAGTTAGGTAGGAAGGCGAGTTCTACGCTTTCCACGCGATGAAGGGAAAGGAGGAGGAAGGGGGATAGGATGTAAAACCGAAACCTCTAGCTCTGAGAAAAGTCGTGTTTGCGGGAGAATTACAAAGGAAAAAAAATTTAAAAAAAAAAAAAAAAAAAACCTTGTGACCTTTTTAAAATTTCTCTGAACAGCTGACTGATCTAAACTTAGATAATTGTGCGCGCGCGCGACTTGCCGTCTCTCTCGAAGCGGTACGCGCTATTTTAGAGGCGTCTCGTGTAAGTGTGAAATGAAATAAATAACGTGTCGCTCGGAGTTACCCGCGTTTCAATCGATCGCCGGTAGCGATATAGGAAAAACTGTCGATGATTGAAATCGTCTTAATTCCATTTGCGAATTCGGTTTGCCATATTGTACAATAGATATGAAAAAAAATATAATTTACGTCAATCGTTATGAATTAATAAATAATATTTGATTATGATATCGAAAATATAGAAACTTGATTAGATTGAATAATTATAAAAATGATTAATCCACGAAACACCGAAGAGAGTTTTGATAAATTGACATTAAAGTGCAACACGTTTCATATTACCGAATCAAATTGCATGTATAATTAATTATTTCAAATTTTGTAAATCAATCAATCTTTGCATATATACACCAATTCCATCGGTTTCAATAGGAATATAACACACTTGCTAGTACATTTAAATTAAACGTAGTTTAATTCCATTAGCGAAATTAAAGCTACACGTGCCGCGCTTTAATTTCGGGTCGATGCTTAGAATCGGCGAGTCACTCTGTTAAGTCGAGACGAATTAAAAGCACCCGCTAATACGGCCCATTTAACTTTATACGTTCGAATCATTTTCGTGAAACGGAAAGACAGGGACGCGAGGATGTTTCTCGTTCCAAGAAATTGGCGCCACGTTTCGAGCGTATGTGTATTACGCAAGCATCAGGCCCAGTGGTTGCCAACTTGCTCAAAATTATAACGAGATAAGATAATTCAAAAAGTTGGAAAATATTTCGCGAAAAGAAATATAAATATAATAATTAATAATTCTACACAATAATACATATTCGCATGTAAATTTAATTATTGTTCCTTCCAATTTATTTCATGCAATAGGTACTACCTAGGTATCACCTAGAATAGCTCGCGAAATAAGTTGAGAATCACTGACTATGAATAATAGCGGTATACATTGAAAACTCACCTGATGTAAATGATGACCCCATTGGTGCATATCCTTTTCCATCCACGTGGCACGGTGATCGCCGTTGATTGTTGTTGCTGTTGCTGCTGCGTAATCACCGCACTACCGTTCATTGTCAACACCACTGCGTTATGCTGCACACCGTTATTACCGTTATTGTTATTGCCATTGACACGCAACGGCGGCTGCTGGCGCGCAGCCTGCTGCGCGCACGCGCTACCAACTCCGGAATGATTGTTATTCGCCGGCAAAACACCGTCGTGCTGTCCCACCGGCTGCTGATGACTCTGACTCTCATCAGGGCTGCTGAGGCTGCTGTAAGTCGTTGACGATTCGTCGGATCGTATCGAGTCGCAAGCACCGATTACCGCACCACTACCGATATCACCAACACCGATAACCGTCGCGCTGGACGCTGACGAGGAAGCGGCCTGCTGATTATCGAAATTGTCCCGCTGCCGGCCCTTGTCGTCCAAGACCTGCTGCTCACCGTTTTGAAGCACGATACCGTTGTTGCTACCGGACGTCGATGTACCGTACGCGATGCAACCGTCGTCGCCGAGAAGTCCTACGTCACCGGGATTCGATTGCGCGACGATTCTATTACCTGTCGTAGCGTTATACGTCTCGCTACTCATCCTCGCAGAGAACACGTCGCCGTGTTGGAGCCGCGTCTGATACGTCTTGGCGCCGGATACCATCGGATGATCGTTGCCGAGACCGTCCGCCGTCGAATCTCCATTCTCCGGCGCTCGCTTGTTCTCGCGCGACGTTGTCATCATCGTCGTCATCGCCGCCGTGGTGCACGTCGATTGCCCCAGATTGGCCTGTCGATACAGCATCGCGTAGTCTTCCTCGTCCTCCTCGTTACTAACGAGAGAAGAAGCTCGCTTGGACTCGCTGCCATCGGCGTTGGTATTCACCGTGGCTGCCGCCGTTATTGCCGCCACCGTCGTCGTCGTCGTCGTCGTCGTCGTCGTCGTCGTCGTCGTCGTCGTCGTCGTCGTCGTCGTCGTCGTCGTCGTCGTCGTCGTCGTCATCGTCATCGTCATCGTCATCGTCGTCTCGAGCGACGGTTTTAGACGACAACAGCCGATCGCCGGGATGTTGACGTTGTTCCCTACGTTGAGCCCGCCGCCACTGCCGTCGGCGCAGTATACGGCGGTTTTGGCGGGAAAGGTCGTCGCAGCCGCCTGCGCCGTCGCCACCTGCGGCGCCTGCAGAATGCCAGCGTATTGCGTCGTCTGCTGCTGATGCTGCTGCGGCTGTGACTGATAACCGACCGCGATAGCGGCAGCAGCGGTCGCGGCGACATTCTGACCCACCGCCGTGGCGTACGCAAAGTTCTCCCCCGATACGTACACTAGAACGCTGTTTTGCTGTAAAGCTTGTTGCTGCTGGTGCTGGTGCTGCTGCTGCTGCTGCGAATGATGCGATTGTTGTTGTTGATGCCGCTGTTGCACTTGCTGCGGATGTTGCTGATGATGCTGATGGCCGTGACTCGGGGGAGCAGGGAGCGTGGACGGCTGCTCAGGCTTGCCGGCCATGGTCCAGGTCCAGCAGCGCTGCGGATGACTCCGACGACACCCACGACATCACTGGCACAACGTGGCACGTAGTTCGCCTACGTGGAGACACAGGCGACGGATATTTGATCCACGGGTGCCGCATCCTCCGCAGGCACGATCCTCACGCACTCGACGATGATCTTGCCGATAGTCTCGGATAGATAGTCGCGCGTTTGCCGTTGTTCCGCGTCCCGTTGTGTTTTTCCGCCCGGCACTCGTAGCACGACATAATACACGAATCGCGTGTAGCGGCGCACGAATCCTCCAACGCGGCGCGGTCGTCGTACGTCGTACGTCGTACGTCGTACGTCGTACGTCGTACGTCGTACGTCGTACGTCGTACGTCGTACGTCGTACGTCGTACGTCGTACGTCGTACGTCGTACGTCGTAACGTAACTCAAAACCGGCGCGTGTTTGCCGCGCGTAGTACACACTGCCGGTGCTCGCCGGTCAATGGCCGTCTAACCTCCTTGACGCGGCGAGGATCGCCGTGCATGGCGCGAGACGCGAGACGCGCCGACGACGACGTGTTTCTCCCGCGAAAGCCGGCCGTTCCTCGCTCCACGATTTGCTCCTACTTCCTTCTCCTTCCCGCCAAGATAGCTGCACGCTCGTCAAAATATCGCGACTGATGATACGTCGACGCACACGAACGCGAACGCGATCGAAATTCGAGATACCGCCATCGGAGTCAGCCGGCTGACGTTTTTCGCTTTATCGTCGGCTTCTTCTCTCAAAAGCGACCGTCTCGCGATTCGGCGTTTCCGGACGCCGAATTCTTTTGCCGCGTCGCGGATGAGCGTGGCGAGTCGTTACGCAGCATGTTGGTGACGACTGTCGCTGCCAAGTTCACTCGAAACTCGTAGCCGGCGCGCGGCCCGACGCGCGTAGGCGAGCCGCTTGTCTATCGGAGGTAATTACGTTCCCGAGAGCGAGAGAACGCCAAGGTCTCGACTCAAGGTGACGGTCCGCGCCACCCACCCAACTCCCCGATACTCCCCGATGCTCCCCGGCTCGAAATGGACGAGCGCGATGATTCCACGTCGCGATGATCGCACACACGCGCACTCGACGTCGCGGTTAAATCGGCGCGAAGAATCCGAGATTCGATATGCGAAAGACGCACTGCACGTTCGCTTACCGAATATTACCTCACCTCACTTTACCTTACGAGAGTCAACACACACTGATAGGTCGTGTCAATGACGCCACGGTTCGAGTCGCGTTTTTCACTTATATACGCCACACTTGGTCCCGTATCGCGTTACATTCCCAAGACCCGCACTCGATCGGTCGCCGAAAGTGAAGAAACGAAAGGTCGCGTGTCGCGCGTTACAACGATCGCGATTCTCGCGAGCCTCACGATATCGCGGCCGGGCGGCGTGCCATCTCCCTCGACACTGACTGCGTATATACGCGCTTTAATCGCGCCGGACGACGGACGACTCGGCTCGAGTCGTCTCAAGTCGGCGCTCGATCGGTAATATGGCGCGAACGCGCTCGCCGTGCGAAAGAAGAAATAAAAAAAAAAAAAAACACCGCCGGCGTAACGATTCGGGTTAAATCGCGCACGGACGGACGAACGTCGTGTTGTGACGCTGTGTCATCGTCACAGCAGCAGCAGCAGCAGCAGCAGCAGCAGCAGCATCACGACCACCACCACCACCACCACTCTTTTACCACCACCACCATTACCACTGCCTCGTGCCGCGACCACCACTACCAACGACCACTGTTACGCTTCTACCGCTACTACTACTACTACCACCACCATCTCACCACTACTACTAGCGCGGTTACGAACTCGGGTTAAGTTAACTAACCCTCTATGCCGAGCCGAACACCTGCGCGGTCCGCGCTACTCCGTTTCTCTCGCGTCTCGCTCGCGCGCTTGTATAAGGCGGTCGATTATTATTATATATTTTGTGACGAGCAACGGTCGCGCGCGACGCTTCGACAACTCGCGCGTCGGATTGCGTTCGTTGTCCTTGCGATTAACGCGCGAGCGATCACTCACCACCGGCCGACACAGACACCGCGCGGCACCGCCGATCGAAATGCCATGCCTGCCAGATGATCTGCCGTACGCTACGCTGTTTTTCGCGTAACTGATATTGGAAAAATATGGCTCCCACCGCATACCCAGAAACCTCTGCGACGACAATCTCTCGAGGCCACTCGCACGTCACTAAGTACATCGCTAAAAACATCGGTCCTCGACACGCGTAATGGCGATGGTGCCGCTATCTATCGGATAATGCGCGCGTTAATTTCGCGGTCGCATTTACGAGTTTATAAATCTCGCTTCTCTCTCTCTCATTTTCATTGGAATCACCAAAATTTTCCTCATCTTTTAAATAACAATTTTCAAATTTATCACATTCTCCAATCTAAAATCGGCGATGTAATAATAAATGAATGCTTACGTTTCACAAGTCAGAGATGTATCAAGATATATCTATAAATACTTGCAAGGATTAAAAATACGTATTAACGAATAATCAGAGATTTTTAAAACTAGGATTATTCATTAAATAGTTATCGATTATAAATACTAAAAATATTAAAACGTTGCTCCACATTCTAATTTCATTATTTTTTACGAATATTTATAAAAAGGAAATAAAACATTAAGATATCCAAAAAATTATCGTTTTTGTCATAAAACTTAATTTGGAGCTTGCGCTTTAATCATTTAATTAACTTTTTCTAAAACTAAAAAGAGACAATCATACACAAACTTTACTAGCGCATTAATAAAACTGATAAAGAATTAAATAATATAACATCGCAACAATTAACTTATGTTAGTTCACAATGAATTAATACAGGAAATTAAAGAGAATTCACGGGACAAAAGTACATTCGGATATAATGAAAAATACGAGGAGTTACGGATTTCGCAAGGGCGTAAAATCGATAATTTCATACACACATTTCACAGTTTCGAATTTATTTAAGATGTTCAAAAAAAGTACTAATCGATCACCAATTTTTCCTATAATAAATAAGATTACGAGAGACATATGTGGCTATTTAGTAAAATTCACTATAGTAATTGCGAGTACACGACCATGTATACAGTAAATTATGTGAATGTGGGGGGGGTATGTGTTTCAAAAGAATATTAATTTATGATATAGTACAACAGGGTTTCAAAATTGTCTAGAGTCTAGAACATTTGTTCATGCGCGTTGATGGAATTATAGTAAAAATAACGGAATAAATTTTTGTAGAAATGAATATAGCTTATATAAAAGATCATACTTGAATTTTCAAAATTCCTAATTTTACAATCATCGATTTTATTATAAGGATATACAATAAAATCTTAGAATGGGCTAATGTAAAGAAATGAATTATTAGATCCAATAGCGTATAATTGCACAGTGCTGCTTAAAAAATGCGCGCAATCGTCCACACACACACACACACAGGAACCTGATTCTCCATTTTATTTGCATTATTCGCAAACAAAATTATATATTTCCGTTATTATCGTCACACGCCAGTATACAAAAGCGATTGAGGAAAAAATTAAATATACTATGAATATGGAATAATGTTTCATTTCTCGAAGACCACTGATCGATGTTATATTATCCCGCACTTTACCTAGATATTTAAAACTTTGTCGTTTGCACATCGATTGACACATTTCAATATTACTTTTATAAGTCCTAGAAAAAACTGTAAAAAATAAAAATTTTTAAACCGTTCAAAACTTGTGGAGTAATCAAATGCTACTATTAATATTTGGAGGACCAGAAATAATAGTATACACGGATAATTCACGAATTTGAACTAAACATATGTATATGAACTTTAACTCTAGTTTTATATGTAGCAATTACTGCTGAACTGCTGATTATTGGAGCGATATAACTGGTCAAATAGTGAAGAATAATAATGATGCTTGAAGATACATGTAATTATAGCTCGTAATTCAGGATTGACATCATAAAACGTTATGTTAAATTACTAAATAAATTTCCTTATCACTGTGTAATGATAAGTACATATTTTTAATGATCCTCTACTTAAGCGAAACTGATAGATCTCACTGAGATGTTTCGCCAGAATTTAAAATGTACTTTCAATCTACTTCGAGCATAATAATAGAGATTTCTCTCATTACCAGGTGATAATCCATCTATTCAGTCGCAACGCCTAATTATCGCGTAAGGATCTCATTGAAGAATCAACAACTGTGGTATATTCACAGTTCTGCGCATATCCAGATATGAATTGTTTCAAATTCATTTTTGTGTATTTTCTATATATCCAACTCTATGTTATTTCTTTCTTTAACGTGATACGCGAAATCGAGCGAATGGGACAGAAAGTTCGAAATGAAAGAAATGGCTATGTTTATTACAGCGTTAATGTAATCAAATTAATGTGTGGCACATTGGACTCGCGATGGACCCCCTTCGTCTTCCTCGTACACCTGTCTCGTGTCTCTCCGCCTTTGCTCCTGTTCAGGATCTAAGTCGGTGAGCAAGCACTCTTCAGCGTTGTCCGGAATTATAACTTCTTCTCTCGGTGGCAGACATTGCTCCAGTGTCGGGATAACCGACGGTTCTATGCTCTTCGGGAAATTGACTATGAATTGTATTATGAGCCTACCGTGTGTAAATGGATCCTTGTAAATCGGCATGCCCTCGTTCAAAATGCATTTCAAGTCTCCGTGTTTTGTTACAGTACCAGGATAAGATGTTATCACTAAATCTCTGCCATCCAAAGTACGGATAACTTTCTGGAATCCACATAATGCTTCTACTAATTCTAATTGCATCCGCATGATCAAATCATTTCTTGAACGCCTGAAAAATAATATATCGCAACGTTAGTAGAATGATTAATTACATTGATGAGTAAATTGTAATAAAATTATTCCATTGTAGTAGTACTAACTTGAATACTTCGTGTTCCTTTTCTTCAAGAAGAATAACTATGTCACCAGGTTCTAAGTCTGGTTCTTGATCACCTTCGCCAGTGAAAACAATTTTTTGGCCATCTACCATGCCTGGATCAACATGGACCTCGAGGATTTTTCTATCTCTAATAGTCTTTCTTCCATTGCAATGCTTGCAACGATCACGAGGATTGATACGTTCACCCTGACCTTTACAGTCCGAACACATAGTTTGTAAGTGTTGCAACATTCCTGGACCTAATTGCTGGATTTGTACTTGCAGGCCAGAGCCGTGACACGTCGTACATTGCTCAACAGAACCCTTCTTTCCTCCAATACCTAATCAGAAAATAATGAAAATCATCTTCTCTAGATAGATTTTTGTACAATTATTATATATATATTTCTGTAAAATACTTACCTTCACATTTCTCGCAAATAACATTTTTTTGCAGAGCAAGTTTACGTACAGTTCCCTTATAAAGTTCCTCTAAGGAAACTGATAATTGATGCATAACATCTTGACCTTTGCGCTCTCTACCTCTTCCCCTACCTCGTCCACCAAATCCTCCACCAAAGAACATGTCAAAGATATCCATAGGAGATGAGAAGCCACTATTGCCCATACCACCTTCTTTCAAAGCTTGCTCTCCACCTTGATCATAGATACGCTTCTTCTCAGGGTTTGACAATACCTCATATGCTTGCGAAATTTGCTTAAACTGTAACATATGCAATATTTTATAAATCTTAAATTTTATCATGTATAATACGTATAATTAGTAAATATTTTAAATTCAAAATTGAAAAACGAACCTTTTCGCCCTCATTAGGATTTTTATCAGGATGATATTTCAAAGCAAGTTTTCTATAGGCCTTCTTTAAATCTTCTTGCGTGCATCCAGGTTTCACACCCAACACATCATAAAATGTAGTCTCCTTAACCATTTTCACAGTAAGCTAAACAATGTGTATTAGGATAAACTCGTTTCTGTTAATAAAAATAAAAAATATATTACAATAAATTCTCCTATATATATATATATATATATATATATATATATATATATATATATATATATATTCAACGTTAATATTAAATATTGCTGATACTTGATATAATGATAAACAGGTTTCTTTATTAAAAGAAATAGTCAAAATATTAGTTTTATATTTAAAAAGAAATAAATAAATAAAATGCACACGATGAATTGTTTGTCAAAATGTCAGACACAAGTGTTCCATAACCAACTGATAAAATAGCATCATGGAAACAGTGGTAGACTATTATATATGGTGACTATATATATTCTATTCATTATATTGATGAAAAAATAAGATAAGTATTGCAGTAGCACAATATAATTCATATGTGTGACTAAAAACAGCATAAATATGCAGCCAAGTTGGTTCATATAATTAATTCATATATTCCTCCTTCCATCTCTCCCAATTAAACACATTGCTTTTTTTGTAATGTTATATAATTACATGTGTCAAAATTTGTATGACACGTACAGATTCAAATATGGTCAAATCATGATCAACACATAATATAATCATGAATCCTTTATGATAATAATTGTGAATATTTATAGTAATAAATATTTAATTTATTATTTAAGATAAAGAAGACGCGCGCCTTGAATGCTTTCCCAAGTGAAATTAAGTACATTTGAGACGTATTTAAATCCGTTTCCAAACGTATAAAAATTTATAGACGACGTAAAAAGATTTTGACAAAACGAAATTTTCGATTTAACGACTTTGAATTTTGTTTCTGTTATTAAATGGAAATATTGAAAATACAAAAATCGGAGTACTGTTAAAATCGCTTATTTTTTCTAATCTCAATCATAATTGTTTTAGCTTTTTTTATAAGATTTATTATTAAGATTGCGTAAAAATTTTCTTGCCCTATTCATGGAGAATATATCAAAGCTAAAACTGTAAATTTGTCTGTAAATTCTAGGAGTATAATGTCCACGCGGATTTGTGAGTTTCAAAATGGCGTCTAAATGCTGAGAATATACGATTAAATAGATTAGCGAACGGAGAAATTAAAAGGCGAATTTGTGGCGTGGCGCGCGTCGTGACCGCTTGCCGAACAAAGAGATGTCTTTACACTTTCTAGATCCTTCTGCTATTGTATAAGTATATCGAGCGTACAAACCGAGCAGCGGAAATTGCATACGTTATAGCAAAGCGTGCAGCGATTGCCAAATAGCTCGCGAAAAATTCTACTTAATCGAATGAACGCGTTTATGCTATCGCGAGAAAAACCCTCGTGTGCCTTCGCGCGCGGGAATGATAAGCGAGTTTCTCTTCCTCTGTCACGGCGGATGCTTCGTCGCGTCGTTAATTGATGGCCTGGGTAGGGACGACAAGCTAACGCTCAAGTTACTGACACTATCTACCATTTCTTTTTTTTCCTACCTAGCCCGTTATTATAATGCAAATACTACTCGCCTAGCGATCAACTCTCGACGATTCGTAATATTTTAACAATGTTGAACGTTCACGCTTATATGTGTGCACGCACGAATATACCGTTGCAACCTTCGACCGTCCGCTAAGTCCCCTCTGTTGGTTTCGGAATATTTATCGTTACGCGGCTAAATCGAAAGAAATCGCGACGAGACTGTACGATGGCAGTGGCTGCCGCGACTCCGAGAAATTCTAGACGAGTCTACGCCTCGTGCAAACGCCAATCGGGACTGCGTCTCGAAAGAAAAGTCGCGAAAGGCCACTGATCGATCGCGCGACTCCGGCAGCCTGTTCGTTCTCGTCCGCACCGTTCTCGGATCTCCCGATGAAAAATCGCGAAGTCCACGTAGCCACGCGAGGACTTACCTGCGTAAACGGCGAGACGAGAGTCGATGAAGGATGACCGCGCACGTTTCGCACAACGTTCGTTCTCTCTCCCGTAGCTAGGCGATAACGTTTCACGAACTGAACTGTGCCAAGTGACCACGTCTCCTACCAATATTACTTCGTATTCGTTCTCGAAACTTCCTAGAGAAGCAGTGGCTCGACGTTAACCGAGCGCCAATCAGCTGCCAATATGCCGTCGACGGTAACACCACATGCACAGCATTGGTCTCCTTGAGAAACTCTCTCGTCGATTCGATCACACGGTAATGCAGTTTTACCATTGAAACTCGAAGAGAAAGAAAAATTTCTATGTTTTTCATTGGATATAAAAAACATGTATTATCTGCTGCGTGATGTTTATTCTTTTATTTTCTCTATAACAAAAATCGGTTATTTCCCGCAATCTCTCCGAAATGTATAAATAATATATCAGATATAAGTATCTATAAATAATAAAGTTATTTTATTTAAAAGGCGGATGTGTGTCGACGTCATGTTGTCATAGATGGCGGTATGCGTTTCCGTGCATGTCTTTTTCTCAAGTGTCCTCAAGCGGTACGCTAGTCGAGCAAGATGGTATGTAGTTTGTATCGATAAATTCTGCAGTAATCGTTTAATGAAACGTATAGTGTTTAATTAAATATTTAATAATGGCATCCAATAAAGTACGTGTCATGTATATAATCTTCGAAGAGTACCAATTGCAAAATCAATGTTAATAGTGAATGTGGCCCAAGACACATAACCTTATTAATATGTGAATAGAGTTGCTTATAATTTTTCTTTTGAGCCACCTTATCTAATAATAATATAATAAATTGCATTAAGTCCGAATATTTTGCATTGTTTGTCGATAAAATTTGCAGTATTTTCTCATATAGTTATGGATATATTGATCTTCAACAAGGAACCAAACTTTTAATTGCCATGTTTTGATTCTTGATTACAGACGGAAGGTACAGCTACCATCAGAACAAGAAAGTTCATGACCAATCGGCTTTTATGCCGAAAACAAATGGTGAGTGTGCAAACAGTATTTGTAAAATATTCATCTTTATTATTCATTTGAGACATATAACATGCAAATGTGTAACATTCAAATTTCTACATGATACATACTTTTTGTATTACAGGTCGTAGATGTAATCCATCCTGGCCAACCATCGGTTCGTAAAACCGAAATACGCGAGAAACTAGCCAAAATGTACAAAGTAACACCAGATGTTGTCTTTGTGTTTGGCTTCCAAACCAACTTTGGCGGTGGCAAATCTACTGGATTTGCGCTTATTTATGATACTTTGGACTTTGCAAAGAAATTTGAACCTAAATATAGGTTAGCAAGGCATGGTCTCTTTGAAAAACAAAAGCAAACCAGGAAACAACGTAAAGAACGCAAGAACAGAATGAAAAAAGTTAGGGGTACTAAGAAGAGTAAAGTTGGAGCAGCGTCTAAAAAGGTAGGTTAATTAATGTAAAATGTATTTGTTATGTATAAACATATGTGTCTTGCTCTATTACTTGAATATGTTAACACTATAATTTTTTTAAAATCTTATTTATTTTTTTTTTTCTATCTTTAAATCTTGATATAAAAACTTATTTTATGCATGTGGAAACAACGATTCTTTCAAATGCCAAGAGCTTTTGCTTAATTCTCAAAATTATAATCGGCTTTAATTGTATTTCTTATCTGATATGGGAATCTTTTCTATGTTTTATTCAAATAATTCTAAAGGTAAATTATCATGTTTAGTCAATCTTGAAATATATACTTATAAAATTTTCTTTAACAAATTTTATATAATTGATATAATTAAATTACAAATATATATTATATTGAATAATCAACTTTATTGATACATATATTTTTTAAAACTTAAATTCAAGATTTCTAAAGTTAGATTAATTTAAATTATTTTTGTTGATATATATTCCTTATAATATTTAGATCCTGCAAAACAGTTTTATACATAATATGTGATATTTATGAGGAAATATAAATGGAAAAATAAAACATTTTTTATTGGTGATGTAATAATAGTTTAATAATAGTTAATCATGGGCAAATTCTTAGAAACAAAATTTCTTTTGATCTGATCTTTTTATTATGCATGCTTTGAAGCTCGTTCCACTTGACGTTTGCAATGCTCATGGGATTATTTCATCCCTGTTGTTTATCGAAAGTTAAACAAAGATGGATGATGCTTGTGAACATGCAATCACCAAATGGAACGTAGCCGTGGTAGTATACATTTATTATTCACATTCTAGGGAAGGAAGTAGACAAATGATCATCATTTGCATTACATAGTTCTGGAGAGGGAATATCTTTTTGCTTGATCAGGGTCAGCATGCAAAACTTTAAGTTTTAAAATACTTTTGTTTTTTGTTACTTGCACATTACTTGTATGAGCATGCTGATAATTCTTTTGGTATTTATATTATTTATGTATAGAGAGCATATATATATATATATGTACAATTTTATCTTCGTGATTTATTTGTTAAACTACTAATCATTATAAAATTCTAATATTTTATTTGTGTAATATAGAAATGTATAAGTAGTGTTACATATAATTACATTTTCATATAAAAATCCATATTTTTATGCTACATCTTATGCTTTAAATGCTATAAACAATTTTGCTTATGCTTTATTAATGTATATTTAAAGAAATTCATAGCAGGTACAAAATTTGATTATTTATCTTACATTTCGCTTTTAATCATTTAATTCACAACTTAAATTTAATATGTCATTTATAATATCAAAAATTAAATGAACACTAAACTTTTATTATAAAATACAAATTTTCTTCAAAATAATAAATAGAGAGAGAGAGAGATTGTAGATTGGAATATGTCATTACAATTATTCTAACAAAAAAAAAAAAAAAAAAAAAAAAACTAATAATTAGAAAATTATTAAATGTTTAGTTTACCAAAGTTTTTTAGTTTAATAAAGAGTTACTTCCAATTTTTTTTTTCGAAAAGTTTTGATATAAATTAATTGTAATTGTAACTTAACTGTACATAATTCTAACAAAGTAACAAATTTTATTTTATTTCAAAATACATTCTGTATCACATATGCATGCTATATGAAATAAAAATACACAAAATCACTAATGTTTAAATAATAATATATGTATTTGAATATGGAATTATATTTAATTACACGCTAGTGGGTGTTATATATTTCATATTTAATCAACGTGTTTATTTTGGAATTTAATGCCTTATATGTTAATTGAAGCTGTATGTTATTTCTTACTTTTACAACAATTTGTGCATATATTAAAAATATTTATTATATGTATGTTGTGTGTGCATGTGTTAAACTTAAACAATTTAAATGAGAGATAAAAATATTCTATTGATCTGGACACAATTTTTTTTTTTTTATATTACAGTAAAACTACAAGCTATTATGAAGACCGCAATCATCACCGACGTAAAAGTTATTATAATATTGTACTATGGAGCATAGTTGTAATTATAATAAATTTTGCGGAATAAACGTGTGCATTCTTTTTGATAAAAATTGATTGTCGCATTTTAATATTATTAAAAAAGTAATGTAAAATTAATGCTATTTTGTATATTAAATTAATGCGCCAATATCCCTACCAAAATAATACTTCAAATAACACATCATTGTCACATTAAACTGAGTCCGTTGTGAGATTCTATAATTATTTTTTCTTATATATCTCTTTTTATAAATATACTAAAATTTAAACAATTCTGAGATAAATTTCTTGTAGTGTAGAAAATTATTTTTTCTCTAAATTTTTCCTGGCATATATTAATATTGTCAAAATAAATTAATGGTATTAAGATATATTTACAATAGACTCACTTTAAATGTTATGTTTGTTAAGTGAACAAAGTTGAATCTTGTCGTATATGGAATCTCGTTTGACCTGTTTTTAAAACATTATGACTTCAGCGGATGCTGGACGGGGCTTTTTTGTAGTACGTGTATTGACAGTCTCGTTCTCTTCTATTTTCTTATTGAAGACAGGTAAGATTAGATCGGTGGACGTTCGATCAGGCAATTCGGTGTCAGTACTAGTTACAATTTCTTCGGTTGATGTCGCAATTGATTCAGTGACAATTACAGTAGATTCGATAGATGTTACGATTGATTCGGTAGAATTTAACATTGTCTCGATGGATGATATATTTGATTCGGTGGAAGTCACTGCAGACTCAGTGGACGGAACAATTGATTCTGTAGAAAATGTAATTGTTTCCGTAGTAGATGTTAAGATTGATTCAGTAGATATCGTAACTGATTCATCGTTTATTACAATCGATTCAGTAGAAGTTAGAATTTCTTCGGTCGATGTTGCAATCGGCTCTGTGTTTTGTATATTAAATTAATGCGCCAATATCCCTACCAAAATAATACTTCAAATAACACATCATTGTCACATTAAACTGAGTCCGTTGTGAGATTCTATAATTATTTTTTCTTATATATCTCTTTTTATAAATATACTAAAATTTAAACAATTCTGAGATAAATTTCTTGTAGTGTAGAAAATTATTTTTTCTCTAAATTTTTCCTGGCATATATTAATATTGTCAAAATAAATTAATGGTATTAAGATATATTTACAATAGACTCACTTTAAATGTTATGTTTGTTAAGTGAACAAAGTTGAATCTTGTCGTATATGGAATCTCGTTTGACCTGTTTTTAAAACATTATGACTTCAGCGGATGCTGGACGGGGCTTTTTTGTAGTACGTGTATTGACAGTCTCGTTCTCTTCTATTTTCTTATTGAAGACAGGTAAGATTAGATCGGTGGACGTTCGATCAGGCAATTCGGTGTCAGTACTAGTTACAATTTCTTCGGTTGATGTCGCAATTGATTCAGTGACAATTACAGTAGATTCGATAGATGTTACGATTGATTCGGTAGAATTTAACATTGTCTCGATGGATGATATATTTGATTCGGTGGAAGTCACTGCAGACTCAGTGGACGGAACAATTGATTCTGTAGAAAATGTAATTGTTTCCGTAGTAGATGTTAAGATTGATTCAGTAGATATCGTAACTGATTCATCGCGCGCGTTTGTTACAATCGATTCAGTAGAAGTTAGAATTTCTTCGGTCGATGTTGCAATCGGCTCTGTGGAAGTTGCAGTTAACTGGGTAATAAGTGGAATCGGTTCGGTAAGAGTTACAGTAGACTCAGTTAAGACTGATTCAGTCTGAGTAACAGTTTGAGATGTCTGTTGTCGTGGCGTGGTCAATTTAATTTTTGGTGTAGTCGTTGGAAGTTGCGTAGCTTTTGGAATCTCGAATTCGTATATATTAGGAGTCCAATCGATCCCGAACATGGGAGGTGATGGCAGGTTTGGCATCAGAGGTCTCATGTCCCACTCATCTGAATCGCTATCTGGACTGTAGTTATTTCCTGTAACTTTTCGGATGATGTACCAGTTACCAACTCGAACGCCCCAATCTTGTTTTGGGTCGAAGGATATGCTAGCTAATACCATGAAAAAATTGATAAAATAGGAATGTTAAATCAAGATCGTGTAGAAATTGCTTGAGACTATGCAATTGTAGAGATCTCGGAAAGAATTGATACTATACGCAATGTTAATTGCATTTCCTGTACGACTGTCGAAATCGCGATACTTTCAATTATGTTCTGTAGCGAAGCATAAACACATGATTTAACATTCACCTCGAACATGAATTTCAGCCTTATGATGTAACAACGAGTTAAAAGGAAATACTACGTATTCTAACTCTAAAATTTTATATGATTGAAATTGCTTACACAAATCCAAGAATAAACCTGGATAACCCGATACTCGATTTTCTATAGTTTTATCGATGTTGAAAATATCCTGCGGTGAGAAACTTGGAGTTGGATTGTCGTTACCGAACCACTCTTGCCATTTTCCCACGACTCGATTTTTTAGTATTCTGAACCAATCTCGTATAGTTTCTCCGAATCCAGCTGATCGATATCCACTATGTAAACCTGCACCATCTGCGATAAGCGTTTGCATTGAATAAAATATCAAAAGTTTATAGTAGTACTGGATTGATTATTATATACTATGTGCAAAAACAAAATAATTTCAATTCATTACAACATTGAACTCTTAATTTGTATAATTTTAACATAAAACGACATAATTTAGAAAAGTGAAAAACTATTTCATATTAAATCTTATCGATATTAATCAATAATTGTAAATTTCATGTATTGATTAAAGATGTTGAATTTTAGTGGAACAATTTGGATGCAATCAATTTAATGATACAATTCCATTATTACAAATTATCAGTATGTTCTTTTTATTATAATTAAAGGATTTAGGACAGAGGATATTTAATTTACTTCATTTAATCACTTTAAAAGCTTGAAAGACTTAATGTACGTTTAATTTATTCAACTTTGACACTGATTATCTCAATGTAGCACTGGCTTTTCAATTTTCTCCCGTATACACGATCAATTTAACGTAAACGATTGTTTGCATTGTACACAACCTCTATCGAAAATTGGTATCGGTGCAACGAGTTGCCAGGTGAGAAGCAACAACAATACACCGAGTGGTTGCATTTTGCAATCGGACAAACAACATCACTCTGCGTGCAGATAGGAACGTGTGTGGCTTTATATGTCCTACGGCGGAAGTGCATAGCATGACAATCTCGTTAGTGCCACAATTTTATCGGATATCAAATTGTATCCTCGCAATAATATCATTAAATAGCATCGACCTTGTTCATCCTGATCCTGATCTCCCTCACGGGTTGAACCCCTCTCCCTCCCTCCGCATCATTTCCATAATATATAACTTACACCGAGAAATCCAAAGTTTGTATATAACGCGCGATGTGCAGTAAGGCGGACAATCACTTATTCCGCGAATCTAAAGCCGCAGTATTATGCTATTGTGTTGTGTTACGTATGAATACAAATTACATACATGCGCTCATGTGTGCGATTACTCATGTGGTTTGGGACCGACCAGCCTCTCAAACTGGCTATCAATGGATTGCATTGTGTGCACTTGTTAAAAACTTGCAGTTTATACAATTTTTTACTATTATGCGTTTGTCCGCGTTTCTAACGTTAGAAAAACATTATTTTATTTTAATATATTGTGCTATTTTTTAATATTTCTATATATATCAATGCAAATCAAGAAAAAAAAAACAATTTGGCTTGCTCTAACAAAAACAACTCTAGAAAAAGGTTTACAGTTGATGCGTAGCATATAAAAGATACATACAGGTCTTTTATTTATAATTATTGCGCTATGTTCAAACGACTTTAATTTCAGATCAGCTTTGAATGAATCATATGGATGCGAGATAGATTAGGAGAATTTTTATATCAAGTAGTCTACACGAATATGTTCGGGATGCATTATTCGTGCATATATCTTAGCGCAAACACCTTATAAAATGAAAACGTGTTCGCGGCAGAATATTAGTTGGTATAAAATGTAATGAGAATTACTTATAATATTTTGCATGTGTCTAGGATTTATGAACTATTACATTTTTGTGATCGATCGTATAACCGTCGATGATAAAGGTGCTACAAGCCATTTATTGCCCATCATAGACCTTGTTAACATTTGTACACTTATTGACACAAAGTGCCAGAAAGGACTGAGTAGAGCTTGAAGAGATGCGTTTTTCTCAACCATTGTTTATATATTGCTATCGGCAGAATTCAATTAATTGATAATTTAATAAACTTTTTGGGTAGTGAAGTACTTGGCGCTCTAGAAAATCGCCCAACTCGCCAGTTTTTCAGGTACTAATTCTATAGACCCTAAATCGTAGCTGGTCGAAACAAAGCTGCTTGAGCTGCTATGTGCCACATGTGAAAGTGGACTCGTCCAGAATGGTTGAAAACGCAACGTTCGCAATTCTCTCGTCATCTTTCTCTCTTATACTCCTCGAATATTAATATTTCAAGCTATTCTACTTAGCTACACATTATCTTTATCTTCCAAGAATTTGTCTATAGTGCGCATGAGTCTGTGAAGACAACGGATACCGACGCTTCATTCAGAATCCGGTGGTGCAGTCTGTCTACGTTATACAACGGCGTACTGGATCAATCGTGGCTCATCAAAGTATCAGGTAATCAGGTTTTGCGATAAATCATGAATACACACTATCAGTACAGAATCGAATTACATGATAGGACGCAGTTTGTATACATATTATACAAATCCCAAGTTTTGTAGAGGCTACAATATCGTGGATACGTGTGTGGTTGGGTTATGTTACGTAGAATAGCTGATTGCGTTCTTAGAAATAAATCATATTGCACAGGAAAAGGCTGGTTACAAATACGTATATAGATAGCACATAGAAAATAAAGTAAAATATAGATAAAATTCTACGAAAATTTTAGCTTATCTCCAAATATGGACTCGCCCAAGATTCTCGAGTCTGTATCATCCAATCACATAGTAGCATACAGTGGCGGAACAATAACTGTAAATGCCCATTACTTCTTAAAAATTTGCCAATCATAAACTAAAATGTTTTTTAATGTCTATATTTTGACAAAAATAGAAAACGATTTAGATGAGAACATTTGTAATGTTTACATAATTTTTTTTGTAATGTTCACATAATTTGCTTGTGTCTGACGAAATATATATTCAAAACTATTTACAATATATATATATACTCTCGCAGATCCATCAATATCTTAGTTTTATCCCGCGTCAATATTAATATATTAGTAGCAGTATTAGTCAAACAAGAATATATCTCTAATAATTCTATTTGGATGGTATTTAATAACATGTTATAATAAAACTATAGATTTTTAGAAATTTTTACATATTTGCAATACATAACTATTTAATTAACAATGTATTGCCTAGTTTAAACATGGGACCATGTTGCCTGTGTAAGTAAATTTTCGATAAATAAATTTTGCTTACTTGTTGTTAAACATTGTTAAGCAAATTATGAAAAATCCGCATGATGACACAATTTATATGACAATTAAGTAATTGAAACTAAGGAAATAAGGAAAAGTTACACTTAATGAAGGATTAAGCCAATCAGGTCGAAATTGTGTTCTTAACAGCTTCTCTTTGGAAATCTTACTAAAATATATCTACAACTTTGTCAGATTGAATTGCATTTTTGTTAAACTTTTTATTGATTGTCTATGTAATAGCATATAGTGTCTCTTTTCTGCATGAAGTGTCTTCTCTTAAATCAATATTCGGTAACCACGTCAGCACGTAACTGTAGCGTACGAAAATCCAAGATTCGCTAGATATGTCGACTACAATCATACGATTCTAATGTGTGAATAACGACAATCTCAATTTTCTTATTTGATGTTTCGTTAATATTTTATAACAGAAATCTGAAAAAATCATATTACATCCACATTTTATAAAATCATTTATATGACGATTTGATATTTCCCAGGTAGCAAAAGTAGTCTTTTTGACATCATTTTGACCTAATTTGACGTCAAAATGACTACTTTTGCTACCTGGGTTGGCTTTTAGGACATGTAAACTATGTACGCGTCAATTAAGATATATGGTAAAATTGCAGAAATTATTATGCTTTTAAGTAAACCTTACTCTGCTCATTCCGATGATAGTCTTATAACATCTTAATTTCCGCTTTTTCCTAAAATGAAGTTTGATAATTATTGATTATGCCATAATCCATCGACATCGGGATATATATGTACATACTATACCAATATATGGAAATTAGAGATATATTAAAGAAATTTTTTATAAAGAATAATTAACCGGCCTTTGTAAGCAATTGATTGACATTATAGATGTCAATTAATTAATTAACCTTATTAATTTATACCAATAAGTCTGTATTTCAACGTTCTACATGCTGCTTTTATCTTTCTTTCCCCATTAAAGCATAAATATATTTGATACTAAAGCATAAGCTGAGCGAAAGTATGTGTGTAGTCGAAGCTAACAGGCCCAATTGCTATGTAATGCTATGGGGCGCCCTTTGGGCCAGTACCACATCCAGCACTGTCCAGCATTACCACCAGTTCACCAGTGACCACCGTGTCAATGGTCGAGGGTCGAGGTTGGGCGTTAGGCAGGGTTAAAATGTTCAGCACAAATGTGTTCCTCTTTGTCCAATGCGGATGAGATACGTTACGTAGGGTCATAACGCGACGGAAAGAGAGAGATATCGCAAGATATCGTAGCGATCGTAAAGAGATACGGAAAAAGAAAGGTACAGAGAAAGGGGCATTCAGGGTTTTTAGTAGATGAGAAGACGCTCAGGCAGGAGCAAGCAGAGGCTCGCAAATAGATAGCATTGCCAACGTGCTTGTTGGAGTACTCAAACCCAAAACATCTCTCCACAGATTGTACCCTATCTCGAGATGGCCGACAACATCACCACCGTCTACGGAGATAAGAATGACGATAGTGATTACACAGCATCACTAGTATCACCTCTTCTCACCGATTTTGAAATTCAGTGCAAACCAGAACCATGTTCCAATCTACCTAACTCGACCGACGAGGACCTATCGGTGTTTGTAAGTTGAAAGTATTTTGTGTGATATTATATTATATAGATTAGAGCTTTATCACTTATATACGCCATATCTGCATCGAAATCGAAATATTATTCAATTTTTAAAATATTTATTATATCTTTGGAAAAGAGTACTTGTGTGAAAATGCTACTTTTGCCGAAATTGGTAGCCATACTTTACCGCGCTTTTCATGTTGCGTTGATTGACCATTTTGGTTAGATATACTGGTACTTTGCGTTGCTACATGTTTAAATGTTATTATCATGCATGTTGCATAGCCGATCATTTTCCAATAAATGAAAAATTAGTTGTGGTTACTACTAGTTTCTTTACTAGGAAAATTCAGATCACATTTTTAGGTTATATGTTTCATATATAAATTTTGTTTTGTTGTAGAATCTCATGTTATATAATTATAATTATAATTTTATACGCTGAGTCTTTTTTTTGTTTAGTTTTATATTAAAATATAAAAATTATTTAGAAATAATGTATTTTATTTTTTATTATAGGATGAACCCTCAACCTCAACATTGTACACTCCAGTATCTGTACCTACGATAAAAAATCCAATTGTTTTGTTAGAAAGATGTGATAAAATTTGGCAAACATTACAAATGATAAAGATTATACAAACTGAGAAACCAGTCAATGATGACAATGAAGAAAGTAAAAAGGAAGAAGTACAATATTCAGATAATGCCAAACAATCTGTATCACCTATCATGGATCAACCTGCATTGAGAAATCATAATACAGTGCCATTACCTTTCAAGTTTTCTGTCCAAAAAACAAAAAAATTATATCCTTGCACTATATGTGGTAAGCAATACTTGGAAAGACGATCCTTAAGAAAGCATTCGGAAAGAGTACATGGAATTACTATACCATTACTCATCAAAGGTAGACGTCCCAGAAATACTTCACTATTATCTAACAAAAAGAATTTCAACAAAGTCAATCTAGTTACTTCACTTAATAAAGAAGGTAGTGATTTTGAAAATCTTAATGACAAAGCTTCACATCCAAAGACAAAATTTGTAAATGCTAAAACTGTTGCTTTACGATCTACAGTGTTAAGGAAATTTGTCAAATGCACATTGTGTCAACAGAAAGTAACATCTATAAGGAAACATTTAATTTATTATCATAAAATTGGTGGTTCTTCAAGTGTAGTAGAACAACTAGAATCTTCATTATTAATTGAGAATGGAACATCATCTGAGGATAAGAAACCTACATTAGAAAATATTTCCACCCAGAAATCTCCACAATCTGCTAAGATGAATATGCAAGATGGTTTTCGCATAATGGATAATGAAGCTGATACTCATAAAACATCTCAAGTTAAGAAAAAACGAAAGTATACATTATCTTATGTAAATGCTAAGAAAAGATTCAAGTTGAACAACGAGCGTTATGTATTTACTCGACATGGGCCTGCTGTAACACAGAAACAAGCATCTTTTATTCATACCAGACACAACAATCGTACATCATATCAATGCGACATTTGTTTAGGAATATATGCATCTGATCGTAGTTTGTACAAACATAGACGCAATCACATTTTTCGTGGAGAAACTAAAGAAAATATTCACAATGTCAAATGTAGATATCATAATTCACCATTTAATAAGAAATACAAATTATTGCTGTCTTCCACAATGTCAACTGATACAACTGCAGAAAATACTAGCAATAGCATCAATGATGTACAAAATGGCAAAATTTCCAAGATTAATCAAACAGTTCAATACAATGGAAAAATAGACAAGAGCAATGAAACTACTTGTATATGCGGAAGATCATTTCGAAATCCTCATACCTTGTTCATTCATAAAAAAAGCTGTGAGTTATATAAACAGGAAGATACTATGTCGCAATATACAAGTGTCAGTAGTGATTCTGGAATTGGTATTAACATAACGATAAAGAAACTAAATGATTCCTATAAGATTGTTGGAAAAGATAATAATGAAAGTAAACTCCAAAAATCTGACATCCATTTCAAAGAAAATAATTTGTCTATATCTAACACATCTGATCATACTACCAAAGAGTCTGTTAATTTATGCGCTAAACAAAAAGAATCAGATAAATCTGAATTATTTAATTACAGTAAAGATCATAGCTTTTTGAAGTTACATGTTGCAGATGAAGATGTAATTATCGATATCGAAGATGATATACAAATTGAATTTGATAAAAATAATACATCAAAGAAAATGGTTACACAACAAGATAATAAAAGGTATATGTCAAAGGAGCAGAATGATGTAAAAAATTTGAAAAATGAACAAGTTTCTGATAAAATCGGTACATCAAAACGAATATGTCAAGACGTTCTAGACATTTTTGCACATAAATCTAAGAGTGCAGTAAAAAATGGAAGTCAGGAAAACAGCCAGGTTGAAGATCGGGAAATATGTCAGGATAGCCAGATTAAAAGTCAGAAAATACATCAGGAAAAGAAAAGAAAGTTACGATCTTCAAATAAACGACGTCGAAATGATGAAAAGAAGTTTGATCATTTGAACAATGGAATGGAGGTTTGTATGACGAAATTTGATCCATTATCGGTATGTGGATATTGTAACGAACAGTTTGACACAATTAATTCATACTATAATCATCAGTGTACTGTTAAAGAGGGGAGACCATTTGATGAATTTTCACTACAGTTATTATGTTTCCATTGTGAAGATGTTTTACATAATTTCAATGAATATGATAAGCATATGAGAGTCAAACATTTTGATAATGCGTATCATTGTTACCTATGTATCAAACGATTTCTAAGCGATAAAGCGCGATTACAACATATTAGTTTAGAGCATAACAATATGTCTTGCAGATTTTGTGATGAAAAAATTTCTATTAAAGTTAAAGCCTTACACGAAGGTTATCATTTAGGTTTTGGTTATCCCTGTCATAAATGTAAAAAAGCTTATACGAATGGAAAGAATCTTTCTTATCATAACTATAAGTCTAGATTACATCCAAAGACTGATAATCTAGTAACTTGTACCATATGTTTAAAATCTGTAAAAGTACGAAGTTTTCGCACTCACATGTCTACGCATAAACATAACGCTTGTTATTTTTGTGGTAAAGTGTTTTCTAACAAAACAGGTATAGAGTTCCACACCATGATACATCATGGTACACAGTCTAAATTAAAGTGTAATGTCTGTGGTACGCGTTTCTTCACTAAGAAACAACTCGAGAAACATGCAAAGGTGGATGGATGTAATAGTGGCATACAAGGAGTGAAAAATAGAAATACAGTAGCGCATCATTAATAATATATTTGTTTAAGAATAGTAGTATATATATAAACATAAAACAGATTAATGTGAGAATTAATATCAGATATAATTAAAAATCTTTTACATTGCAAATTATTTATAATTTAATACAGATGTGCAGGTAGTTTTGATGCATTATAATTAGGTTTGCTATTAATATATAGAGCAAACCTTTGTATAATTCGATTTTGTTGTATAGCTAACATGCGCATACCGATTATTGCGCATAAATACATGTGAAATAAAAATGAATACATGTTCCATTATTTTTATGTATAAGACATGGGTGATGCTTTGTAAAACCACCTGTAACTCTCTCTTGTCATATGTTCCATAATGTTCTATATAATATATAAACCGATTATGAACAAATATTTTCGCGTTCTATTACATTCTCACATGTGTCTATTGTATCGTCTGTGTAGCATTAATATCTTATAAATCTTGCAAACTAAATTTTTTCTTAAAACAAAATTTTTCATAGATATATCTGTTTTATATCAATGATTAAAGTTGTTTTTTTTTTGTGTTGAACGCTTTTAGTATTCTTTCTATATTATCTGTTAATTACAGTTATTGTTTTACAAGATATTAATTTACACAAATGATATTTCAACTAAATTTACTGATATTAATATCTTCTATAAAATTGTACAAAATTTAAGAATACAGGATCTTTGTATAAATGATGTATATCCTATCTTTATTCAAAGATAATAGAGCATTGGACGTATGTGATATTTGCGTTGAATGCATATTAATATTAATGTTGTATTTTCATTATTGATGTAGAGATGAGTAAGCAACAACAAAAAATATCATTACCAACTCATGTTTAATAACACTCTTAGGAACAAGTGTTTTGAAAACATGTTATTTGTATCAATAGTATATCGTTTATTTTTAAACTTGTTATTTACATGAAAATCATAATAAACCAAAGGAACATAATCTTGGTACACAAAAGGTATCATATGTTATTATATACATATATGTGTATTCTTTTTTAAGATCTGTGCATCGAATTTATATTGCATCATACGTAACAATATCATGATAATGAAATTAATTTTATAATACGTGGAAATTAAACGATATAAATTTTTTACTTTGAACATATGTATATATTTTTATGATATGTATGTATTGTTAAATTTTAACTGTTTCCCATTTTCGTGGTATGTAACTGATTAATGTGAAAGATATAGTCATATTTTATTAATCCGCTAACATTTGTGTTTTTTTAAATTGGCGGCGATTTTATACGTCATATGATAAATATGGTATTTCATTTGGAATTATAATAATGTTAAAATCAATTATCAGTATAAAAAAAACTTATTTGCAAATTTGTACGTTTTACAACAATACTCATAAATAACATGTAATTATAAACAATCAAATTCGACAATCTATTTACTGCAATAACTTAATTTTATTTCTTTATCTTAGTCGAAACATTTTAAAATTGCATATTCGTTAATTATTTATCTAACAGAATTGCTTTATATACATATATTTGACGAGAGAGAGAATCTGCTATCTCGCTTTTATTAAAATTTTAAATTATTAGATGTTTGAATTATATCTATAAAATTATCAACACATTTAATACAACATCCTTACAGAAAGTGTTTCGGAAACGTGTTATTTGTGTTACTAAGTATACCATCTATTTATAAATTTGTTGTTTATATGAAAATCATAATTAACCAAAGAAACATAATCTTGATATATAAAAACCACATGTTATATACATATATTTACTTTAAAACGAAAAGTATTCCAACATTTTTTTTGTCAGATGAGAATAGATATTTTCGTCACCCTATATATTGGCCGCGAGAATTCGGCGGTTTGAAAAATTGGAAATGACTAGTAGTATGCGGCGCGGCTGGTAGATGTCGCGATCTAGTGCGGTGTCCGCCATTGACTGCGGCGCAGACGTGCGCAGTGATCAAAGCCGTGCGGAGTGTCGGAGAGGGTGGTTGCATTACGCTCAGTACCTTTTTCGTCGCGCGATTCGCGGAGACGCGAGTTATATACGTGTATGTGCGCGCGCGCGCGGTCCGCGACGGCCGGTCGATGTGAGGGAGCAAAACGCGACAACGAGAACAGCGACAGCACAACGAGAAATGATGGCGCGCCGCCGTGTGATTTGACAAGTGGGGAAGGAAGCGCTCGATGGGAAAAGTGTCTCGTTAAATACTACCGTGGTGGTTCTCATACAAGCGGACTTGAGGGTATCCGCTGTGCGCAACCCTGCGTGTAATTCTGGTTAGTGCCTTCTTTCTCTTTCTCTCTCTCTCTCCCTCTCTCTTTCTCTCTATTCTTTCTATACTCGCTCGCGCGGAGGGTAGCGTTCGAATGTACGTAATCGTTCGATAATCGTGCGGATTCGAGGCGCCGCGCATCATCGAACCGCGGCAAACTCGGCTCTGAAATGCCGGGAAAAAGAGTTCGAGAGATCGATCGTACGCGAAGAACCAGATCGGGTACCGTTGACGCCAGTACGTATATGTATAGTATATATACATTTGTATATGTGTGCATGCGCGTATAAACGACAACGGAATTCTGGTTTAATAATTGCGGACGCTCGCGGAATGTATGATGTATATTATCGCGTTTTCTGCGCGTTTACTAGCTTTCCCGTTTCCTACTGGACGACCGATCGCAATCCGGTTCGATCTCGATAATTCGCAGCATCTATAAATTACTGTCATTAAGGAATTTATTCCGCCATATCAATTGCATGATAGAATATTTGCTACGACGAACATCAATTTTTCCAATAACGTTTTGTGAAATATTCAACTGTAATTAAAAATTCTCTTCTTTTATATTTAAATCAATTATTTTTAACTTTCCAAATTAATCTTACCTTTAAATTATGAATTATATAAAGAGATGCCTCGAGTTATATATGTTATCGTCATTTTTTTTAATTCTGCTTTTTCTTTATTTTTACAATGCGACAATCATTGTATCGTCTCTAAAATATTCTAAAGTAATATTTTTACCAGATTAAGACATACCGGTGACCATTTAAATTAAAAACGTAGTAAATAATGTGCGAAGCGAATGGAACGGGATTAAATCAATCCGCGAACAAAAGAAGGAGTCGTTTTCTAGATTCGCGAAATAATTTTGCATTTTTGGATGCCGAGATTCGATTCTTGAATATTCAGTTGTAAAGCCGGAAGATCGCGCGCGCGACAGCTTTTATCGCTGCGGCTCCGAGAAACGCGCAGTGCTCGAACGGACACGCTCGAATCGATTTTCCCCGTGCTTCTACCGTCGACTGTGTGCCGTGCGTTGTGTGTGCGGGCTTAGGCTCGCTCGTACATTTTCTCGGATTCCCGCAGATCGCCAGCTGTGTGATCGTTCGTTATTTTCCTCCAGTGAATATTCGCATGCGACAACGGATGTCATCATCGTCGATATGAAGTTGGCTTCTCGTTTGTTCTTCAGTTCTTGTCGAAGCGCTCGCGATTCTGGATAAAGGTATCTCACGTTCCCGCCCAAAAGCTCGGAAAGCTCGGTCTTCGCTATTGTCGTTATTACGTTCAAAATGATAATTACTAGAACGCGACTAGCTTTAAAAAAAAAAAAAAAACCTTTGAAAGAAAGAAAGAGTTGTGACATATATAGTATTCTAAAAAAGGTGTATCCTATACAAGACATGAATGTCTAAATCTCTGTTGTCGAGACATCTAAAAGACGTCACATCTTCGAAACGTACTTTCGGATTTTTGTGTTGTTTGATAATGTTAACGATAGAGGATTGCACTTTGAGCAAAATTCGCTACATCGATCTTTTTCCTCGGCGAATAGCGAACGATAGCACGACGATCGCAATGTACTTGGATCGTTTTGTCATGTACGGTTATACCACCCGTATCGTTTCGTAGACTAAAAATAGCGTTCTCCTCGAGAAACAACCAAACTAACTTGGCCATCGTTGCCTGATGAAACGCGTTCTTATATTCTATCCTTCATTTTTAAAGAAATTCTTATTTTTTAATAATTATGCATTCAGAATTAAAATGGTTTTAAATCTATAATTTTACGTCTATTTTAAATATTAAGTTATGTTTAAGATAAACTTTACAAATTATATTGTATGAAAAGATAGAGAGAGAGAGAGAGAAAGAGAGAGAGGGAGAGATCCATTGGTAGTAAGATTCCGAACGAGATATCTATATTTCGTTTACTGTCTGTTAATAAATCAAGATTGCTCTATCAATAAGTTTCGGTTTTGTATCTCGCGAAACGAAACCCCACGGGAATTTAGGGGCTGAAATAAATTGCGTTTTATCGAGATTAAGCGTCAATCGTTGCATTCTGATCCACGCTTGTCTTTGATCGATTCGATCGGTCGTACAGATATCGGGATACCGCACCGTGGACCGACGTGAAAAATTAACGAGAGAAAGCGGAAGTATCAACGGGGTGGGAGAAACAAGAACGGCGACGACGGCGGTGGTGACGGGGGCGGCGGCAGCGGCGGCTGCGACGAGGGTGTGACACGAGAGGGTGAATCGACAGAACGGCCAAAGGATGACGGGCGAGGACGGAAAGCGCGGTAGCGGCGCCGGCGATGTTACAACTGGAGCAAACATGAACGCAAACGTCACCGACAACGCTAATAATGTTAACGCCAATGTTAACGCCAACATAAACGTCAGCCAGCAGAACGGCGGACCGGAGAAGGCACCCGTCGTCGGCGGTACTAATGTGGAAACATTACCACGCGCCGGAAAACAGGTGAGTTTGCGATAAATTTTTCGTTAGTCTATATATATATATATATATAAAAGCAGCGAGAGTATAAATCTTAGCGTATTAAGGGGGAGGGAAAGGATCGATTCTGTCAATTAAACAAGCTTGATTTGATGATTTCACGTCTTTTCTTTATATTCTCTTAAAATGACATAAGTAGAAGAACAAAATTTATTTAATCAACGTTAGTTTTAAATAAATGCAATGTTTGATTTGTTTCCCTGTAAATTCCACTATATTTTTTTAATATTTGGGTACATATTTGTTTCATCCTAATGCACAGACAGTAAATATAGGAGAAAAAAATAAAGAGTATATGTAATGTATAATAGTTAAAAGCTTTTTTTTTTCTTTTGATAAAAAAATGTTTTTAGAAGTATGGTGAAATAGACAATAAAGTTACTTAGGCTTATTTCATTCTCAGTGCTTCAATTTTATCTATAATACATGGGAAACTTACCGTTATTTTATGCTGCATACTTATCTCCTCATTTCACTAATTTATACATTGCAAAAGATATCCTTCGTAATGCGATATTGTTTTATCATAATTTTGCATGTTAAATAAACGTTAAAAATCAAGTTCATAAAAAAATGTTATATTGTTAAGATTGTAGGAATACTTGTATATATGACTATATATATATTTTTTTTAATTTGCTGTGCCACGTAACATCGAAAGTTTTTAAAGTGCTGCATGGTGTGCGCATTAGTTCGTCACGAACATATGTATTTTTGACGACGAGACAAGGGAAATAGGTAGTATTATCGTAAATAATAGGCTTCGTATGTATACATGGTATAATAGTATATACGGGCTCGTATTTGACTGTTTTGCTGCATGTCAGCTCGCAATTTCGATTGCGTGAGTAAAGTACGAAAAGAGGGTTTAGAGTACAATTGTACTCACGCATTTAATACTTTTTACGAGTTAATTTTGTTTAAAATATTTGTTGCTAACAATTTCAAAGAGAACTACGAGAAATACGATAGTAGTTGCAACTGCTGTATCTAGCATTATTTAATAGATAATTACTCAGTTTATTTCGGGTATTATTTAAATATCTGAGTATCACGAAAAAAATAATATCGATGAAAATCAAACGCTCTATTGGCTTATTTACGCTAGTAAGAAAAATATTTTAACAGCGGTGCATTGCACAATGATTTTAAACGATACATTAAATTATTTTATTTTGCATCATAGTTGATATCAATGGTAGCATGAATGAAGCTTACGGTTATTCATTTAAATGAAATTTTATTTAAAGTTTTTCCTTTTTTTGGCTATATATATAACATTATATATTATATATTATATAACATTTTACTTTTCCAGAAATCTTTTGGATATAATATAAACTATAAATTTAAATTATAAATACATTTAGATATTTCCTAGTTTTATTTTATAATAAACGATATCATACTTAAAATAACTGGATACTCGAAATGTGTTTTATTGAATATTTCATAACCGGAATAGCGCAATATCGTTTGTTTACGAATCACGCAATTTTTATGGGGTCCTATTTACGATGCACCTGAGGAGGCGTCAAGAGTGCAAAAAAATGCCTTTGTCGCAAATCGTTACGTCGAGCGTATTAGCATGCAAAACGATCATTAAGACAAGCTGACCGACCGATTGTTGCGACTCAAAGGTCACGGTTACTGTAGGACGTAGGCTGCTGCGAAGACAACAGCACAAGTAGATATTGGATACACGTATTCGTATTTACGTCACCGAAGATCTTGCCGCTTCTTTTCGGCAGAGAGGCAAAAAATTTCTAAATCGGGCGAGCGCGTGTGATCTCACAGGAAAAAAAGCCTGCCGGATAGAAAGTTTCAAACTGTTTCGTTAATTGCAACTTCTTTCCGTTCGCGTGAATTATTACATCGTTAAAATCAATCGTGTTCAATGTGGAAAATATTAGTAAAGTAAAATGCAAAACTATTAACTATCTCAATAGCTTCAAAGTAGTACAGGTTCAAATATTTTATTTTAAGCGAGAAAGATGAGAGCAAATTGGTACGGTGACAGAATTTGAGGGGATAAGGTAAGTATCTCTTACCTAAGGATGTGTGTGGCGTAGGAAACCGGTTGACACAGATTTAGAGAAGGAGACTGCGAATCAATAAACGATTCGATTCTATGTCATAATTAATTTTTTATATTAATTCGAAGTATAAAATTTATTTTGACTTGATTCTTTCATAATGTATTAATTCTATCTCATCTTTCCAGTACTTTGGATACTACGTTTATATTTAGGCATTTTTTTGTAACAAGTACATTTGTACTTAAATATATATTTGTAGAACTATGTTCAAAGAATTACGTGTATTTTACGATACGTGTCGTGTCATATATATGTATATACGTATATATTTGCATCAAATTACATATATTTTGTAAGCGTAGGTAGAAAAGTAGCTATATTGTAAAAAATATATATAAAATTAACGAATAATAAGTGTAAAGTCTTATATACTGTAATTTTGTAATATTTTTTACAATGTATGATACTTTCTCAGGCATATATATGTATATATATGTCATTATGTTATGACGAAATCAAGTCGCTCTTACGTTAATTAACGAGTACTCTCGTGCGGAAGCAGTCATTCCTTTATTCTCTAAAAATGTGTCATGACAGAGCGGTACATGTTTTGTTCACCAAATGTAATTCGGGGACGAATTATTTCATTTCTCTTGATCTCGTGATGTCATATGCTATGAATGTCGCTGATGTTTCAATTCCGCAAACGTATCATCATTTCTCGCCTTGCCGAATCTCAGAGAAATCTATAAATTAGATGAATACGCGTAAAAATATAATCGAAATAGATTATACTTATTTCGTAGTATAGCTAATAAATGATAATTTCTTTTTAACACTTGTATATGACGATCTTTTTTCAAAAAATACAAGCTTAAGGTTCACATTTAAATTAAAGTTTATATATAACTTTTATCATGGCGATTGAAACACGAAAATAAAATGTTGGCGTATAATATTCAAGATGATAAGCAATATAAACCGGTCGCTGCAGCATCGCTTAAATTCCTCGAAGTCTGCAACAGCAGTTTGTCGCACATCGCTAAGACTTCATTGACTCGCGACTTACGATGCGTTCATCGTCCGGTTTTATATGCTAACATTTAATCGCTCTTCGTGTACTATATGTTCTGGACTCGCGGAGAATTACATCATAATATTTCATCATAAACCCTCGCCAACGAACCTTGAACAGTGTCTCGAGGCCACGGTTAACCAATCCTGGGGAGAGAAAGAAAGATTCGAGCGTTTCTCTGATATAAATAAAAATATGTTTCCGTCGCATTACTGCGTTTGTAGCTGAGTCATGCTAGATAGCGAATTGATTAATTGACCGAGACTCAATGGCCGGTACAGCTAAAAGATTGGTAGTTGCGTGTTCTCCTCATGTAAATCAAGGTCGCCGTGTTTTATCGCGAACATCAGATATGTAGGAGACTCTAAAACATTCGTGATTCTAAATTTCGGAGTATTTAACTTTTGCTACGAAAAACGATAGAAGAGAAAGATCTTTTTTGTTAATTAAAATTTAAACAGCCAGAATAGATAACAGAACGCTAATTTTTAAACTAAAAATTCTCTTCAGGAATTCTCGTTGAAGGATTCGTCGTCGAAATTAAAATCGCGAGTTGCGAGACGTTTGTCATAAAAATGTCAGTCGGACTAATTGCATTAGAAAACTGTACTGTTGAATTTAAAGCCGCATACTCATTGTTTAGGACGTCCGCATGCACGATAAAGGACACGAAGGTGATGTTGCGGCGATCACGAATCTAGGTCACCCGCGACGCATTACAGGATTTAGACTACTACGTTTGGCAATTCTTTTCGCATTCAACGCCGTCGTTCTCGCGATGCGCTTTTGGGGAACGATGTTACGTGTATACGGAGGTTTACAAAAGCAAAGATGTAATTCTGACATGAGTGCAATGTGCATGAGTTACATTTCTGATTGCTCGCAATAAGACAGTGCGCGCCATGATGGAGGCACGCACGTTTCATTATAGCGATGCGTCATCCCTCTTCCGTGAAATACTTTAGCCAAGAATGCCCTAAAACCCTAAATACTTAAATATAATTGAAAAAGATATCCAATATCATACCGCTAATTTGATATAGCAAGTCATTAAAAATGGATAAACGGTTTTACTCTGGAACAAGTCTTCCCCAAAAATGTAAGAATGTAATTTAAGCAAAAATAATCGTTTTGCATTTTAAGAGAAGATATGCTAAATTAAGTGTGCGCCAAGATAGTTATAGAATATTTCACGTTCGATAAAAGCATTTAAACAATATTTTGCATAACTCACGCGGCGCGATCAGATAAATGCAGCAACTAAAATGACAATCTCCCGTATATCAATTAACGAATTAATCGTATTGTGCCGTTTTTACAATTGAAACTATATGACTATTGAGAATACGTTATTTTCCATTCGTCGATTCCTCGCCGGATGAAACCGCGCGTTGCGAAACCGTCGACTAACGTACATACGTATATCGTGTATGTACATGTGCGTCCCTTCCGCCTGCTATAAAGGTAGACTGAAAATAAACGTTTTCGCGCCGGTACGCTGCCGCAATGGCGTTCAAGCTTGAATGCGAGGTGGCTTCACGCTTTACGCCAGATGAACGGTCCACAAACGCGCGCGCGTATGCGTCACCGTGAAATTTTACTTCGATGCGTCTTGATTTAAAATCGTTACAAATCATCGGGTTTATAGCATCAACTGGCACGTACGAGTCGATTTATTATAATAGGATAACAGCTATGAAATATGCCAAATTATTTTCAACATTTCTTTTATAATTAAGATTATAAAGATTTTTTCTTATATAAAAATACTTATTTTTACATAAACAAATTTTAGAAAAATATTTAGAAAAGAATGAGCAAGTTTGTAGAATATATTATCAATTCTAGAG